CAGGCATCATCCAAAACTTCAGAGGCTCCTCTGCTCCATGCACTTTGCTGTGGTGACTTTCTGGGAGGACTGAAGAACAGCAGGAGGATGGTTTCCCTCCTCAAATGAATGAGAACCTGTGGAATGATCACAGGGTGAGGAGCTAGGAGCTCCTGAACTCAAATGCTTTATCTACTCCTGATTTTCTTGGTGGCCATGAGTAAATCTATATAAATGTCTGTGCATTGGTTTCTTCGTACATAAATCAAAATGACAAGGTTTCTCTACTTCGTAGTTATGCTGTGAATTCTGAATATTTGAGTGGTCCTTGTAGAAAGAGGTTTGTCAGGAACACATAGCAACAGCTTTGCACCTAAAAACTTAAATTTGCCATCTGGCTCTCCTGAACAGGCAATATAATCATACGCAGTATGTTAAGAACCCCAGTCTTTTACTCTTCCTGGGAATCTGAGACTCAGCAAGGTCTAGGGTTTTTGCAGTAGTGAGAAGAACGGCTTAGGTAGTGTTTGGCTGTGCTACAGAATGTACTGGTAGGGGATTTGAATGGGTATAGATCTGAGACTTGCAAAACTGGCGTTGCAGTGGAGTAGAATGTGCTAGCTGTGCCTGTTCGTGCTCACTCAGAAAAGGTAACATTCTCCATCTTCTTAATGTGACTGCATTCATTCAAGGACCTAGTGGTGGACCTGGCATTGCTAAGCTAATAGTCAGAGCTGATGATTTTTAAAGGTCTTTTCCAACCTAAACGATTCTATGAAAAGGTCTGTGTTTGTCAGTTTGAAGATCCCAAGCTTTGCTTCTACTCTGGTGATTTCTGCAAGGCTTTGAATACGCCAAAGGCTTAAGTCTGAACGTGGCATTTTGTACAGGTTTTGGATCTGTGCAAATCCCAGCTGTTGCAGAGAGTTTAGTTATGTGAATGTGTTAGAGAATAAATAATGGATTTAGATTAATATTAACAAGTGAAACGGAAGATTTAATTGCTTACATATCCTAACCTGCTTTCAGATTCTGATTTTTGCAAATCTATTTAGTACTGAGTCAAAAATTAAATATTGCAAATAATGTATAAATCAAGGGAGTTTGCAAACAAATCCTAAATGCTCTTTTAAGTAAACATTATTTTATGCGGCTTCACTGTCACACTTGAACAGCGAGATCATCAGTTCAAATTAACAGCGCTTCCTATGTACAGGGTTTCACGTCCCAGCAAAACTAGGGTTTGATCTATTGCTTCATGTAACACAAAGGATTACTGCTGGCTTTCAGCTGGGCCTCAGACTTTGCTATTCTAGGTTAGCTGTGTTGCTTGGTATACTACCACTGTTTAGAGAATGTAGAAGCCGTAGATATCACAGGGGAACTAGTGGAGCCTTCAGAAATGTACGGCACAAGGGCGTGAGCTAACAGATAACAAGCAATTCACCACTCTCTGGTCTTCTAGACATCACCAGACTGTGCCTGGAAGCATATGGAAATACAGTGAGACCTGCAGCCTACTCAGGGCTTTTTTCTTCATTTATTGTGCGGAGAACCTGTATCCGTTTCTCCTCTCCATGCTGTCTGGTAATTCTCATGTACATCATGGTCAAAGCCATCACATACGTTAGAGCTTCCTAACAAGCAGGACAGTGGTAAAAAGCCTTCGGTGTGGCCTGACACAGGCTACTGTGTTATAGCTTGGAGGAATACACAGTCAAGGTCTTCAGCAATTGGAGCCTAACCTGTGCACTAAAGCCTTTCATGAGCCTGGTTAAACCGGTATCCACATGGCCACTGGTAAACTGTTCAGGAATTGGTGATTTGGAGAATACAGTTTTAGAGAGTATATTGACCTTGGGCGTTGTACTTATGAGATATGGGGTGGACAGACATGAATTTGGACTGACCAGTGAATCCCCAGAGAGATTTTAATGTGTGGTGATCTGCAAATTTGAATGTCAGAGCAGTCACAGGAGGAAGGAAAAAAAACAACAAAACAACCCATAACAACATATGAAACAGAGGTAGGTGACATTATTCCAAGAACAGGCAGGCTACAATTATGGGTCAGGTCCAGAATCCCATCTGTGATGAGGGTCAGCAGCAGACAACTGGAAGAAACAAGTAGATGACATAGTTGCATGCAGAGATGGGTTGATAGCACCTTATAATAAAACCAGTGGCACAAGTAAGAGTAATATCTCTGAATTTTCTCTTCTCTGTTTTGATGAGTCTGCACTGGTTGCTGTAAATTATCATTTAGATTTCTAATCTACTCTTTGCCTTCTCCTTTGTACTGAGTAGACCAGTGAGATTTCATTTAAGTGGTTGAAAAAGTGAAAATGAGCCCTATTAATATGCTTTGTACTGAGTGAACAATCAACCCCCTGCACCTCCCTTCCCAAAGATGTCAAATGTGTATTCAGTGCTTCACACATTTATGGCTGTGGGGAAAAGGGCTCAGTCATAACAATCATGTTTGACTCCTGCCCTCAGATGCTGACTGTTAGATGGGAATCACTTGCTGATACAGAAAACATGTGTCCAACCTGATTGTAACATGTTCCCTTCCCATGGATCAGGAGTGACTAGGCAGGGGAATTACTATCCTGGAGAGGGTTGTTAAGTGCTTGGCTCTGTCCTCCAGAACTGCAATCAATATCAGGCCTCTGTGCTTAGACTGGTTGAACACTGACACGAGAATATGCAGTCCTTGGTTGTAGTTAAATGTATTCAGAACAGAATCACAGAACCCAGTAATTTGGAAAGGGCTTCTATGGGCTGTGTAGACCACTGGTTCAGAGAAGGTCCGACTAGAGCAGGCGGCTCAGGACTGTGCATAATTAAGATTTTAGTATTTCTAATGATGGGGTTTTCACAGTCTCTGTAGGCTTTTCGTAGTGTTTGACCATCCTCAGGATGAAACATTTTTTCATAAAGAATGGGAATTTCTTGTATTCTAGCTATGTCTGTTGTCTCTCATCCTCCTTCTGCAGACCTTTGAGAAGAGTTTGGCCCTGTCTTCCCTGTGCTCTCCCATTAAGTCATTGCAGAGAACAATAAAGTTTCCCTTGAGTTGCCTCTTCTTGAGGCAGAACAAACACAGTTCTCTCAGCCTTTCTATACACATCACATACTCCAGTACTGTGAGTGTTGTGGTAGCTCTTTGCCTGACTCACTCCGGTAAATTGAAGCCATTCTTGTACTGGGGAGCTCAATATTGGATAGAGTACTCCTGACATGATCTCACAAGTGTCCATTGCCGGGAAGAACTGCATCTCTTGGCCTCCTGGCTGCATTCTTGCAGGTACAGCCCAGGATGCAGCTGGCCTTTGCTGAAAGGGCAGACACTGCTGCCTTGTGCTTGACTTGTCCTCTGGGGCCCTCAAGTCTTCTTCTGCAGAGCTGCTTTTGAGCTAGTTGTCTTCCAACCTGTACTATTGCATGGAGTAATTTGTCTTACTGTTTGCTCGCAGGGGTGTCTAGACACATGCTTACATAAATACAAACATACATTACTGCTGTCTTCAAAGTGCCCAGATTTTTAATGAGTTCATTCTATGATACCCTCAATCAAGACTCCAAAAGTCTCTGCTTAAAGCAGACCTGTCACTTGAGGATAATATATGTTCATGTTACAACACTGTGCTGCTTTGTCATCACTGTTTCATGCTGTGAGGGTACAGATTTTACAGTGTAGATATTTTTCAAGAACGAGTGTGACAACAAGTATTTTCCCTTCAGTCCTGTCCTAATAAATTCTGGCTAATCTGTATTAGGATTACTAAATGAGACAAAATGAAGCAGAAAAATGCTGTTAATGTCAATGGCAATAGTACCAGCACTTGCCTTATACAGCAGATTGTAAGCAATGATAGCTTGACTGCTTGCACTATCTAGTTATTCATGCTCAGACTTGCTTGCACAGCTGAGAGTCAGAAAGATGTTGAAAAACAGAGTAGGTTGAATCCATATAAACTCCATTTTAAGTAGCATTTACCTGCAGATAGTACTGGTAGGAATGGGCTACAGACAGCCTTCCTGCAAGCTTTACCATCACCGTCCTGTGTTTCTTTGCCTGGGCAGAATGGGTGCAGAGCCAGCTTGGGTCCCATGAACACATTATGGCAACAGAGCTGGTTCTGAGTGACTGTGGAAGCCCAGGTACTGGGAAGCAGACTTCCAGTTTGCATAACTTTTTTTAGGGTATTAAAATACTGTCTCCAGTTGCTAAGAATTAGTTCAATGACTTTCCCTCCTGTATGCAAGAGATTTTGTTTTTCTTAATGAGAAAATATTTCATGTCATGTGCTATGCATAATTCTCCCATGCTTATTTTTGCTGTATGAAAAAAGAAGATATGCTTGTCTAGTACAGATTTTCTGGATAAGGTGATCAAGCAGACAAATTTCAGACATGTTTACCAGCAACATCATTATTTATGGCTGTGGACAAAATGTTTTATGTGGATTTCCCTCATGCTCCCAGAGAAGAAAGCTGTAGGATGGTTCATGTGGCTCTGTTGTCTGCTTGGTCTCTCATTCTGTTGAAAGGAATGGGCCACTCTGTCAGGATTATATTCTGATGCTTGTCTTAAGCTTTGTGGCAGACGGGTTAAGATAAGTTCAAATGGCATTAACAATGGATCTAAATGCTAATCTTTGGGAAATATTGGTTTCTTTTGGAACATGTATATGACGGTCATGTTGTGATTAGTAGAGCTCTACATTGTTCTCTGAAAAAGGATGTGAAGTGTCATGTAGCAGTGTCTTTAAATGTACTTCTCCTAGACTCCACTGCATACTTTTGAATGGTCCCTATGGTGACAGTGCTGCAGTGAAACTGAAAATACAGCACTGAAATTCTTCAGTATTGAGAATCCTACCATTACTTCTCTTAACAGCCACAGTAGAAGAGGAGCTATACAGTGCTATGAGATTGCTTAGAAATTTCACGACAACCTCAAATCTCTTCTTCGCTGACTGCTGAATACTTCTTTTGTTTTCCTATTTTTCCAGCACGAGATGAGAACATGGCCACTTTCCGTGGTTCTGAATACCTTTGCTATGACCTGTCGCAAAATCCCATCCAGAGCAGCAGTGATGAGATCACTCTCTCCTTCAAGACCTGGCAACGCAACGGGCTCATCCTGCATACCGGCAAGTCAGCTGATTATGTCAACCTGGCCCTGAAAGATGGTGCGGTCTCGTTGGTCATTAACCTGGGGTCTGGGGCCTTCGAGGCCATTGTGGAGCCGGTCAATGGCAAGTTCAATGACAACGCGTGGCACGACGTTAAGGTGACACGCAACCTGCGGCAGGTAATGGTGAAGGGGAGAAAATGCTGGGGAAAATTCTGTTCTGTTTTATTGTGCTGGGCAGGTGGGAGAGACTAACAGAGAAATAGGGATGCTCAGTGCAATCGCTAGAGTTTTTCCACCTTTTCTGGATCTTGGTATCTAAAGGACAGTGAAAAAACATGAGTTGATGGGAATTTATCCCTGTTGCACTATCTTCATTTCCACTTTATTAATTTTCTGTTTTTTCCAGTTTGATTTAATTATAAAAGCTTGTGGCATAACTTTACTTTCATCTTCCTTTCCTTTTCTCTTTTTCTGTTCTCCCTTTTTAATTTTGTTATTTCCTTAATTATGATTCAATCTTATCGGTAATATTCTTGCTGCATTTAATTACTGTGGGAACAGAGTCTTTTTCCAACAGCCAACTCTATACCTCTCTCCTTTTTCTTTCAGTTTTGTTAATTGATTTAACCATTGCAATGATGTCTAATTCCTCTAATTCTGGAAGTCTTTGTTTTTTCCTTTACTTTTTCTTTTCTTTTGTGTGTGCATCTGAGTGTGCAGGTATTCAGGCTGGTGGGTATGTGTGCAGTTATTTTAACTTTATAGCTGTGGAATTAATTGTCTAGAGTCTTTCTGAGTCTTCTTGATTCTCTGTTCTTCTTTTCTTCTTTTTGATTTTCCCTCCTTCTATCTATAATGAAATTCTACTTTATTTCTTGTGTCTCTACCTGTGAGACTCTTCTGTTGACTGTGAGGACTGGAAAAGTGGAAGGATCAAAAAGGCCAAGCAAACCCAGATCAATCCAACACCCTACAATTCCACTTTGGAAAAGTTTTTTTCTGATTTTATCACTGTAATTTTGCTCATCTGCATGCTGCTTTTCTAAGCAGACAACTCTATCAGGTGATGTATTTGATAGTAAGGTAGTCTTAAAATCCTGAAGCTTTCCTCATGAAATATAAATTCAGATATAAATAGATAAGATAAAATTAAATAAACTTGCTCTGAAAGCTGGTGAATATACGAAGTCACTAAGGCCCATCTGCTGCATGATAAATGAGGTTTACACTGTGAATAGGAGCTATTTGGTATCTTGCTGATTGGTAGAAGCAGCAGAAATAGCTCATGAACTAAGATTTGAAAATCGATTTATGAAAACAGTATTATGTATTTATTTGATCATTAATGTGAATATTAACATGACCCTTAATAGTTTTACTCAGATTTATACAATGGCATTTACTAAGAAAACTTTTGTGGTAACATTTTACAGTAGCAAAATAAAATGTATCTGTGAGTAAAGGATAATCAGTACCAGGGATCAGAAACAGTCTCTGCGAGCAGATGTCAGTGGCTAATATAACTGTTAGAGTAATTCAGTATCTTTCTTTTAAATATTTGGATTTGGGGCTGAAAATATTTGTCTTTCCATATGAATGCCTGTATTTTTACATGCTCAGGATGTCTGAATCTCTGACAAAAAATGGCTCATCAAACTTCTAGGAGACTGCAGGGTTCTGACTTATGGCAACATGAGGTTTTTTTCAATAGTTCATATGCAGATGCAAATTTAATTTCTTATAGAGTGGATGGGTCTTAATGATCCTATTTCATTCAGTTTTTCTCTTCTGTCTGGTAGGGAGAGATGCACCAACTGGTTCGGGTTGTCAGTCTGGAAGGGTCAGAATATGTGCCTTTGTCTGATCTATTTTTTATTTTTAGATAGTTTCAGAATGGCTGTTCTGTAAATATCTCAGTATAGCTTACTTCTTATTTTAGTTAATCATACTTTTTATTTTTGTTGGAAGTTGGTTTTCAATGGGAAAATGGGCCTGAAGCAAAGCACATCCTTGCTTCATGCCAGGATTGGTTTGGATCTTGAAGAAGCATCAAGTGAGGAAGGCTCATGGACAAAACAGTGCATGGGAAGCTCTTAATTTCTTTTCCTAATCTTTCAGCTAATGATTTTTTTATTTCTTGTTCTGTGGTTAAATGGAAATATGCCTGTGCCTCCTTCGTGTTTGCCAAGACCAGGGCAGTGCTTTGGCAATTATTAGAAAGCAGATGAGTCCCTTGCCAGTTAAGCAGCACCACAAATTTTTAATCCTCTTGATCTATTCACTATGTTTTCACGTGATCCTGAATTCTTCAAGGATCCAACTTGACTGGGCAAGCAGAGGATGTTTTAATAAGATGCCTATGCTCTTTCCAAAGATAGGCCAGTCTTAAATTAAAAATAAGTAGCAGAGGTGATCTGGGGTCCATATCTTTAGGTAGGCATGAGTGAATATAGTTTGATCAATAGGGCTGGAGGTTTTTTGAGTCATCTTTTTGCTGGATACTTCCATTTTAATTTCTGATCAAGTTCAGTCTTAAATAAGACATTGGCCCAGAACCTAGAACTGTCCAGAGGTTCGAGATGGTGAGGCCTTGAGGAATAGTGATCCGGCTAGTCCTGAAAGTTGTCATCCAAAAATTGCTGGGAAGTTTAACCGCAGTTTTTAATAAGGAGATACCTTGAATGTGGCAGCCTTCCTGTCAGGTCCTTGGAATTCTTACTTTTTATTGATATTACCAGGAATGAAGAAGTCTTAAAACCCTCCAGTCTTCAGGATAATGAGTTTGGAAAAGATTGAAATGACTGATAAAAAATTAATACCTCCTATGGACATTTTTCAGAACACAACTAAGACTGATCACACTAGATCTTGTATTTTTAAATGCTTCATTTAACCACAACAACCAAAAAAAGATAAAGACATCATTCTAAATAAAGTACAATTTTGTTTTTCTCCATTTCTACAGCAGCTTTCAGCAGCTTCTTCTGTTTTTTTTTGTGCGTACCTGACAGAGTTTCTCTATCTGTAAAATACTTAAATATTTTTCAGACAGACTATGAACCTGTCAAGTCCTTTGATACCTTCATACAGAGCATGTAATAAAGGGCAAAGATTATTTATCATTTATAAAACTGTGCATTTTGTCTTTTATTGCATCCAGTATAATTTTATATATTCTAAATAATTGTATATGTAAGAAATTATCTACTCTGCATCTTTCCTAGCAAATTCACCTGTGAAGCTGCAGCAGAATATATGTCGTTTGGAAGCATTATTTCCATCTATGCTCATCAAAGAAAAAACCTCAATGAAAAACATTGCCTCAACATTTTGAAGCTTTATAAGGAAATCGGTAGCCTGATTTTAATTGGTTGTAGACATTGCACTGGAGAAAAATATATTTTTCTTTAAAACAAACTTTAAAAATAATTGAAAATTCCAAGAATATGATCCAAAGCTAAATCCAATTCAGGTAAATGTGAGATCAGCAGCTTCAGGATGCCAATCTAGTCCTTTCCTCTGTTCTTTTTTGGGATTGGGAAAAGGGGAAGGAGGATTTGTTTAATTTTTTTGGCTGTTTCTGGAATTAGAGCAAAACTTTAAATAGCTGAACCTTTGCCCAATACATTTTTTCGAATTGTTAAATGTTTTGTAGCTAAGCTAGGAGAGCACCAAGTGCTGCTTCTTTTTTTAGATCAAATGACTATCACAGCAGTTAATCTCCTTCGAGACAAATGAAGTGAACCCATGGATTCCCTTGAGTGATGATTGTTAACGTCAAAGCAAATCTCCTTGTTTGTTCATCTTATTACTTCAGTTAAAACTTAAGCCCTCTTCTGCTTTGTGAGAAACCTTTACTAGAAATAGGATCATGGCTGTATTTTACCACAGCTTTCAGAGCATGTTTAGGGCAATGTGGTCTGACGAGAAGAGGAGGAGGAGAGGAGACCGAAGGTCAGACTTCCCATGTCTGTCTTCAGGTCTGCTGCTGACACTCTCTTATTTGTATCATGCTCTTCTGCCCTGTCCCATAGTCCAACTTCCTTGTTTGTAAAAACGGATTTGCTAACACAGTGCGTCAGTTCAAGTGAGACTTCCTTGATGAAGAGTTCAGGAGTTTGTGCTTGTTATACCCAAGTACAGAATATTATTATTTCATTCCCATAGACAAATAAAGAGTTTAGGACATTTTGTTCAATGCTACAAAGTTTTCACAAACTTCCTTCCTTAGTCAATGCCTAAGTCTGAAATTTGCAAGCAGGTAGTTTTTACATGAGCCAGCAGAGATTTGGCTTGTGTGGTTTAGTATAGTTCTTGCCAATTTGACTCATGCTGGAACAAGGACTGGGAGCTGTCCTGGGCCACACTTGCCTATTAACACTGAAGCCAGTCACCATGCAGAGTCTGCTATAAAGATCTTTAGTTCCCCGACTGCTGAAAAGCAAACACAAAACAATGTGTAGGTTCGAACAGTTGGTATCTGCATGCCTTGGGAGGGATTAACAAAGCATCTGCAAAGTTCCGCTAAACCCAACTAAGTGGACTGATTGGCGAGTCCTCCTAGCTCCTCTGAAATTTAGATGCAGTGTAACAGGAGAGACACTAAATCTTGTCCATCTTCTTTCTTCAACCTTGACACAAGTGACACAATTCTTCATGCACAATTCCTCAACACGTTTCTTCCTACACTAGGAGAGGTTCAGTTCTTATACTCTCGTATGACAGAAGTGAGCTACAGGCAAACAGCCCAGCACAGACGTTTTTGTGTGCTTTTCCTGAAAGTCACAAACTCATCTGCTGTAGAGAAACCTGGAGATTGGGAAACTTGGAAGGAAGACTCAGAGTCTTGGACTCATCTTCATCTATGTCCTCCAGCTGAAGGAAGTACTGGCCTGCTTGTCATACTCTGCAACACTTGAGGGTAGTGAGGCTTGGAAGAGGAGCAGGGATGTAAGGGGGG